TCTCAGAAGATTAAACATAAAGACCCAAAAAGTGGAAACAACCCAAAATGTTCAACTGATGATTAAACAAAATGGAATATTAGTCAGCCATAAAAAGGAATGGAGTACTGACATATATTACAACTAGAATGAACCTTGAAAACATTTTGCTAAGTGACAGAAGCCAGTCACAAAAGACCACATATTGTACCATTTATGTGAAATGCCCAGAATAGGCAAATCCGCAGGACACAAAGTAGAATAGTGGTTGCCAGGGGCAGGTGAAAGGGAGAAATGGGGAGTGACAGCTAACAGGTACAGAATTTCTTTTTGAAGTGATGCAAATGTTCTGGGTTTAGACAGTGCCGGGTTTAGACAGTGCCTGATGGGTGCACAACTTTTGTGAATACACTAAAAACCATAAGATTGTACATTGTAAAGGGGTTAATTTTATGGTATGTGAACTATATCTCAATTTTTTAAATGTATCATGAGAGAAAATAACAACTCACAATTTGTGGGAACACCAGAAGTATAAGTTCTGCATTAATGAGTGTTTCTAAACTTACTGCATGTTTTGGGAAACAATCTAAAATATCAGCCACGGAGAGTAAGCCAGTCTAAACATAGCTTTGTTTATTATTTTATCATAAGCAAACATCTCTATAATTGGGAATCCCCTAACTTGAAATTATTATCTACTTACCATGGTTTTAGTGCCTACACTGTGCTGAACATACTATTTACCCATATCATTTCATTTAATTCTTTAATCTGTTGATCTACTATGACCCCAAAAATTGGAATGATTTTCCTTATCTTTAATAGGGAAACAATGAGAAAGACAGGGTGAAGGATTCGGCCTGGAACACAAGCCTCACTGACACCAAAGGCCATGCTGTGTGTGACAAGTCATCCCAAATGGGTTAGATTCTTTTTAATAATATATGAAGTTGAGAGGTAAATGAAGAAAATAGGCAGTATAATATAAATTGCTTGAGAAATACTAAAAGGGACAGCATCTTCCCTGCCAAAGTAACTCCCACCCATGCAGGCCTTGAGATATTTCAAAGCACGCTCGCACACCACCTTGCCTGACCTGCATAACCACCACCAGAAGCAGGTGAGAAGGTGTCCTCGATGCCAATGGACTTTTTGGCTAATACTTCCAAACACAGGATTAGTGAAAATTAAGAGCCAGTCTCATCTTTAAAGTAGGGTATCTTCTTGGAACCATTTTTTCACATCTACTTTGTACCTGAAATGGTTTAAAACTTCATTTTTTCCTAATTAGTCTATAATTTAACTCCCCGTAATTCAGATCACCTCCACCTCAAGACAGCATGAGATAGTAAAATCTCACTACAGTTGAATTCTATACTCAGGACTGCAGCACACACTCGAGCACTGCCCTAATGCAGGTGCTGCAGTGACACTGCAGTCTATGAATGGCACCCTCTGCTGTATGTGGTCAAACTGTAGCTCCATATGCTGGTGCTCTGGCTCCCCCCACATTAAAATATGTGAATGCTCTCTGTGATTCTTATATGGAAGAAG